CAGGAATCTCGAGTAGAACAGGCGGAGGCTTCGCAAGGCCAACAAGTCTCACTCTGAGAGTGAAAAGGTCAAGAAGAGGATGCTGGGCAACCAGGCACTCCTGAAGCGCTGCAGTGATGGCACGACACAGAATGCCATAGAGGGCCTACACTCTGTGATCTGGGGCCAGAACTCTAAGAACAGAGGGCTGTCGCTGAAGCCGTGTCACGCTTCAACCAGGGAATGGCAAAGACGAGCAAGGCTGTAGCAGCACAGCTTGGCTACAGCACAGGTAGCTGCCTGATTCGCAGGAATCTCGAGAAGAACAGGCGGAGGCTTCGCAAGGCCAACAAGTCTCACTCTGAGAGTGAAAACGTCAAGAAGAGGATGGCCGGGCAACCGGGCACCCTTGAAGCGCTGCAGTGATGGCACGACGCAGAATGCCATAGATTGCCTACACTCTGTGATCTGGGGCCAGAACTCCAAAAACAGAGGGCTGTCGCTGAAGCCGTGTCACGCTTCAACCACGGAATGGCAAAGACGAGCAAGGCTGTAGCAGCACAGCTTGGCTACAGCACAGGTAGCTGCCTGATTCGCAGGAATCTCAAGAAGAACAGGCGGAGGCTTCGCAAGGCCAACAAGTCTCACTCTGAGAGTTAAAAGGTCAAGAAGAGGATGCTGGGCAACCGGGCACTCCTGAAGCGCTGCAGTGATGGCACGACGCAGAATGCCATAGACGGCCTACACTCTGTGATCTGGGGCCAGAACTCTAAGAACAGAGGGCTGTCGCTGAGGCCGTGTCACGCTTCAACCAGGGAATGGCAAAGACGAGCAAGGCTGTAGCAGCACAGCTTGGCTACAGCACAGGTAGCTGCCTCATTCGCAGGAATCTCGAGAAGGACAGGCGGAGGCTTCGCAAAGCCAACAAGGCTTACTCTGAGAGTGAAAAGGTCAAGAAGAGGATGGCCAGGCAACCGGGCACTCCTGAAGCGCTGCAGTGATGGCACGACGCAGAATGCCATAGAGGGCCTACACTCTGTGATCTGGGGCCAGAACTCTAAGAACAGAGGGCTGTCGCTGAAGCCGTGTCACGCTTCAACCAGGGAATGGCAAAGACGAGCAAGGCTGTAGCAGCACAGCTTGGCTACAGCACAGGTAGCTGCCTGATTCGCAGGAATCTTCGAGAAGGACAGGTGGAGGCTTCGCAAGGCCAACAAGTCTCACTCTGAGAGTGAAAAGGTCAAGAAGAGGATGCTGGGCAACCGGCACTCCTGAAGCGCTGCAGCGATGGCACGACGCAGAATGCCATAGAGGGCCTACACTCTGTGATCTGGGGCCAGAACTCTAAGAACAGAGGGCTGTCGCTGAAGCCGTGTCACGCTTCAACCAGGGAATGGCAAAGACGAACAAGGCTGTAGCAGCACAGCTTGGCTACAGCACAGGTAGCTGCCTGATTCGCAGGAATCTTCGAGAAGGACAGGTGGAGGCTTCGCAAGGCCAACAAGTCTCACTCTGAGAGTGAAAAGGTCAAGAAGAGGATGCTGGGCAACCGGGCACTCCTGAAGCGCTGCAGCGATGGCACGACGCAGAATGCCATAGAGGGCCTACACTCTGTGATCTGGGGCCAGAACTCTAAGAACAGAGGGCTGTCGCTGAAGCCGTGTCACGCTTCAACCAGGGAATGGCAAAGACGAACAAGGCTGTAGCAGCACAGCTTCGCTACAGCACAGGTAGCTGCCTGATTCGCAGGAGTCTTGAGAAGGATAGGCGGAGGCTTCGCAAGGCCAGCAAGGCCCACTCTGAGAGTGAAAAGGTCAGTAAGAGGATGCTGGGCAACTGGCCACTTCTGAACCGCTGCAGTGATGGCACGACGCAGAATGCCATAGAGGGCCTACACTCTGTGATCTGGGGCCAGAACTCTAAGAACAGAGGGCTGTCGCTGAGGCCGTGTCACGCTTCAACAAGGGAATGGCAAAGACGAGAAAGGCTGTAGCAGCACAGCTTGGCTACAGTACAGGTAGCTGCCTGATTCGCAGGAGTCTTGAGAAGGACAGGCGGAGGCTTCGCAAGGCCAACAAGGCTCACTCTGAAAGTGAAAAGGTCAAGAAGAGGATGGCCAAGAGAAACAAGCCTGCCAGGACCCAGGACTATAGCCCAGGACTGCTATGACCGTGTGCACACATCGGAGACTACTGAACTAGTTTCGTGGTTTCGTGTTTTGTTTTTTGTCAGGTGCCATTTTTCTACGGATGTTTTGATTATGTCTCCATAAGCCGATTGCAATAAGCTTGGTGTTTTTGTTTTCAGTAACAACTGAACTGCACCCTAAAGCTTTTCTTTTTTCTTTAGACTTAATATATAAAAGTGCCAACATCGGAAAACTTCAAGTGCGATTTTCTTACCTTTGTCTTTTTTGTCCAGAGCCATTGCCTTATGGAAGTTTTCATAATGTTTGCATGGGCGGATTTCAGTAAGCTTGGTATCATTGTTTTCAGTAACAACTGAGGTGTATCCTAAAGCTTTTCTTTTTCATCTAGGATCAGTAAATAAAAAGTAATTAGCTGAAACATAGATTATTTAGTGACAAGTTTTTGCTTTGAAATTCCACGATTTATTACTGGTAGACAAAATGGCTTTGTAAACAATCAATTAGCTCTAGGATACATGATGAACCCTTGGAAATCACTGCATATTGTTAAAATATAAATTTTTTTATGTGAAATTACCATAACGATTTGTAAGAAACTACCTTATTGGAATTTTACATTTTGCCATATCTTTTGTTCTAAAAGAGATATCTGTAATTCCACTGCAGATTTGAAATCACCATCCAATGATATATATACTATGCATGCCAACTTTCAGCAAGGTATCTAAATAAATAAAAAAACATATTTCAGTAGCCTAGTCCCACCTTAAGACGGTAAAAAAAAGACTGATTTTGGTGTGCCCCTTTAACGAAGCTAACTACACCGGCCCCTGGGTGATCACCAATACGACACCGACGGTTTTCTTTGCGACGCGTAGCTGTGGCCGAAATATGGTGAAACTGCCCGTGTAGAGGGAGAAAAGACGGCTCACATTTACCGGCTGCCCACTTCCGAGTCGTTTTGTTCAAGGGACCATGAAATGACCTTTTTACTTTTTCCAGATAACTTTTACATTAAACCGTCAATGTTCACTGAATGCCAAACAGGCATCCATTTTCGTCTCTGTTTATTAACTTCTACACAAAAAATTATTGAAATATCGACTTTTTCATTCTCTCCAACTGACCGCAAAACAAGCCGTGACGTAAACCGTTTCCGGAACCGGAAGTTCTCTCGGCAATAGGAGAATGGGAGTGTTAGCGGCAACGAGTTGGGGTGCGCCGGTAGGTTTTACTGCGCTGATGTCACCGACGTATTTCCTGAATCGGCGCCTCTCATCGCTGCATCGCAGCTGAGCGAAATTCAATGAGACATGTTGCGCTACAGCGACAGCATGGGACTAGTCCCATACGCCGGTATGCCTGTTGGGAAGTGCAGCGAGTCTTCCGGTGAAGACTCCAGAAGTCAACCACCCTGTCATTGTTGGCAGAAGGGCCGGCGCGTGTCAGTCGTTTGCAAAGCGACGTAGATGGCGTTTTTCGCGGCCTCGGAGATGCAGGAGCGAGCCGACGTTAAAAAAGATACGTTTGAACTACGAGTGTCAGCAAGAGCCACGTAAATACCTGTTTACACTCGGAGCGGACGCGCGCGTTCGATGAAAGTGCTGTATTCGCGCTGTTTGTAAGCGCTTCGGGACCGTTCTTTTACGATTTCAACTCGATACTGACGCGACACTCGGCAAAGAAAGGTTGGACCGGGGTTGTACGTATACCTCCCACGAACTGTTATAGCTCGACAGTGACGTGCAGTCTGTCAGAATAAAAATGGCATACCAATAACAAAGTGTACATACCGTGTTACGAAGGTAATCCATACGGCGTTTATTTCAGCTCTATATCACACAAAACAAGATAGAATCGACGAGAGTCCCTTTTCGACGAGAGTTCGTCAACACTGCCTCGGCACTGCCTCGGAAAACAAGGGGGAGAGATTGACCTCACCCCTTAATCTAGAATTGAGGTCAGTGATCAAACTATAATACGGGAAGGGTCCACAAGGGTCGCGCGGGCATATTCCATTTAGCACGCCAGCCGGTCGTAGGCAGACGGTCTTGCGACGAAGCAACGCAGCGCCGAGTCGGAATGCCTGCTAGGCCTATATTCTGAGCAGCAGCTCGCTTCGTCGGAGTCGGTGGATCCAGCGTTCTTGTTCGTCGTGGTCTGTTTTAAGTACTGTTTTCTTGCTGCTTGAAGTCGGCACGCGCGGGAAGAACACGTAGAAAAATAAACGTTCAGTCAGTCAGAGTTTTGAGAGGAAGGAAAACAAAGAAAATAAACGTTCGTCGGCGGCCGCCGCCACCCAAGTAACTGTCGGCCCTGCCCTACTGCGCACGCGCAGTAGTTGCTTCGTTTACCACACGATAGATGGCGATTGGCTCTTAGCATTATCAAATTTGGCAATTTTCGCCACACATCTCTAATTATGCTACAAAATGTGGATCTGAATATTATTTAACAAAACTTTTAGGAAACATTCGCCGGCTATTTATTGTTTACGATCACGGAGCTGGTGAGGTAGGCTCTTACCCAATAGGCGACCTGGATTTGGCTGACGTGCTCCATTTCCGCGGATGCATCGTAGTGAACAGGCGAAGGAAGGAAGGCGCAAAAGAGTCCAGTTTTCTTTTAAAAGTTCTATAGCAAATAATTTTTTTTGGCTCCCTATTTTTGTGTTTTTTTGTTTCTTTTCACACCTTTTACGACGTGCGGTGGATGAAACTCGATTTTAAAATCATTTCATGGTCCCTTTCAGTTTGGACGAGCGAGCACGCCGTCGGCTCTTGGCCGTCCCCATCTCGCCGTAGCGGGGCTTTCCGGCCGTGCCCGCTCGGAGCTCCTTCCCCTGGAGCCCGATTGGGCGGGGAATACGTACGTCGTCCACCGTGTCCCCGTAGAGGAAGTCTCCAATGACATTGCTGGCCACTGTCTCGTGAGGGCAGGTCTCCATCTGCAAGCAGTCTCGACTGTTGACAACGCCCACAAAAGCTTCTTTCTCCAGAGACCCAGAGAGGCACGATAAAAAAGAAACGGCACACACAAAGAACATTCTCGTTCCTATTTCGTTCGCCATCGCACCTTGGAATTGGAATATTGGTCAGTTCGGCTACGACACATTCGAGATTTACTTATTTCGCAAAATTATACAGTCCCCAACGATAGGAGGGAAAAAAGAAAGCAATAATAAGTGCACAAACACCGGAGGTGCTTTTCGACTGCACTCACCGTCGTTGAAGGTAACTACGCGCGAAGTTTGAACAGGGTTCCAAGAGCATATGGGGAAGCAAAGTCGAAGCGTGCTTACGAGACTGGACGTTCGGTGCACCCATACTGTAGAGCGGGGGTTCTTAAATTTATCTCGAGGATTCCCCGTCCAATCCAAGTCGAGGAACTGCCGCCAGTTTCGACGCAGACGCGGTACGGCGGCGCAAAAGTCCACAAACCTCGTAAAGAGTGCGACGCGTGCCAGGGAGCGTCCAATTGCGGGTTGACACCGACGAGGGGCTCGGATCTGCTAAAGAACTGCCCAAACTGAAAAAGCGCTCTGCTTAGGGGTCGGCCAAGAAAATTGGGGAGCTCGGGGGACCCGCCAGAATAGAATTAAAGGCACAAAGGGCGAGGGACCGGACAAAGAAATACGCGTACGGGGCGCCCACTCCCAACTACATTTTATCGATTAGAATTGCCCTTAACTACGCGACCGAATCATAGATGTTGGGCTTGCGAACCACACGCTGGCAAGCCTCCGTTGCCCCCCCGAGTCGGCGCACAAAAAAAATTGTAAAGCGGGCGATTGCAAGGACCCGCTTGGACACGCCCTTCGCAAGTTTCACGAAATCCAACCGAGCTTCGACGAGCAAACTGAACGCCTCGCAGCCGCCGAATTACCCTTCCACCCATTGATAGCAAAGTCTGAGTCTCTGCTCAAACAAATAAAGATTGGGCCTTTGACATGATGAGACACCGCCAAAAAAGCGCGCGAAAAAAATAAAGTTTGTCGTCATTCTTCCCGGTTTGTCCCACAACCTGAAAAGTATCGCAGGCAGATGTGACGTGCACGTGTTGTTCTCTGCTCCTGACAAACTGTCAAGGTTGTGCGGAGCCGTCAATCCCTCTGCAAGGGATGCGGCACTTGCGAGACGAAACATTGCGACGTCAATTGTGCCAAAAGGGTCGTTGATTCGCTTCCTCTGTCGTGTGGCAAGCGTTAGGCGAGCCACCATCTTAATGACAGGCTAAGAGAGCACGCTTACAATGTGCCCTCGGCGACATCTGGTCACCCCGGCATTTATTGCCGCGACGGTCGCCGCGTGTCGGAGTTTCAAACATGCGAGGTTGTAAAACCTCACCGAGACCAGTCGACGCGTGAAATTCTCCAGGCCTAAGAAATAGCGAGATAAGGCGACGCTTGTGTCGGGCGTCCTTCAATTGCCCTCTCGAGAAAAGAGATTGCTTTCCTCCCACCGTGACTTGGGCCGCGTTGTGCGCAGTATCTTTTACTCGCCGCTTTTCTTTACCTTTTTTTAAAGGTACGCATGTTTTATACACGCGCTCTTTTTTGCTCCCGACGGCGCCGATACATATGGCGCCATTTTGATCTATAAAATTGAGTAGCGAGTTGGCGCTCTGTCCGTGTAGTTCATCCGGTCCCTGGTCCTTTGTGCCGTTTTCGCATGTCGTACCGACTAGCCCGAGCCTCAACTTTAACCGTGAAAATACCCCAGTTTACCCCTGCTCCCAGGTAGTACCCAGTTGGGCAATTAAAGCGAGTGGTTCTCAAATGGGGTCCCGGAGGCCTTCCCGGGTTCCCCAAAGCCCTCGACCGTCGGTTCAGTCTCGCAAGAAACCCTTTTTCGATGCATTTCCCCAGTGCACGCAGTCGTCCTTAGTTTGTTTCGTGGGGCTGCGGCAGGGTATTTGCCGTGCTCTTGCACTTCGTTTGTTCGCTCCTTTTTTCCCTCTTACAGAAGGGAAAGAATCTTCTCGCACATTTCCAGTGATGCTACCGAGGATCTTACGACGGCACCGTTTCCCCGTATGCGCAAGATAAAACTGAGGCGCAACAACGACGCCGTTTGCGACCAACTGCCCACACCTGGGAGGTTGGCTCTTCCGAGACAACGGTGGGCAGACCGTACGAGGCCATCGAGGGAAGCTGCGGTGGCTGCGTCCGAGACTGCACGTCCGGAAGAACCATCTGGCTCTTTGAACGCAAAAGTGTGCGGGCCGTTGCGAGGTTGGAATTCCGATCCTTCGCCGAGTCGGGACCCCCGCGCTAAAAGCTCGGGCATTTCGTTGAGAATCAGCGTAGCAACAGCAATTTCTGAAACCTTTTTTTTTATATTGATGCTGGGTAGAGCGAGTAGGTTGATCATTCTCAGTTTCTGAGCTTCGAAGTTGGTTTGCACGCATTTAGTGCTTTTCTATTACCCTTCATGAGAGTAACCGTCCCACACTTCCACTCTTCCCAAAGGACTCCCCGAAACATTGGTGGCTCAGAACCACCGCCATCGGCCAACACTCTAAATAAAAATACCGGTGCTTGCAAATGGTTTTTTTTCGCGCCACATCGCACTCCTCGGGTCGATGTGAGCGCGTCTTGTGCGCACAAGCGAGCCGTGCAGTCAACCGGAGACTGGGACGCGCAGTCCGGGAACGGCAGAAGCGCCTCGAGGCGATCCGAGCGGGAAGGAGCGTTACCTGATTGAGAATCCTGAGCTTGCGTCTCTGGATGACGACCGACATCCGGTCCAGGTCCACTCGGCCCGGGTCCTGGCCAATCTCTCCCAGGGCCTTGATCAACCTGCAACAAAACCTCTCCCTAATGGCCTCCCAATCGCGATGCAAATTGCCGGGAAACCAAACAACTTCCCAGCTATACACCTTTCCAAAAAACGCTCCCAGGCCGCCGCCATGTTGCTGATGCTGATGCGGCTGGTGCGACTCTCGCGCCCTCTATCAACTGGAAATTTTCTGCCACTCCCTAGAACTGTGAAGACCCGCTCAGCGCGGTTCTTTACCTACGTTTTTGCGGTTTTACATTCGGCGTTTTTTCGCCCCTCTTGAAATTTTCCACTTAATTTTTTTTTATGCGTGCTGCGTACCCTTTCTGTGTTATCTTCCATTGTGAGAAATAAGGCTGGTAAGTGCCTGCCATTCAAGTTTTTCTGCTTTATATTCACGGGAAACGAAGAAGGTAAAGGACGTGGAACGACCCTTGACGCGATTTTGCGAACATTGTTCTCCCCCTTGTTACAGACAATCCGCGTAGAATACTCAGTCGTCTCCAAAAATAGTTGTCCGGGTTGGGGTGAGAAACGGGTCAGTCGCGTTTGTTTCTTTGCCTCGCTGCGGTTGTGAAAAAAAGGAAGCTCTCCCCAAAACGTGCCCCAAAACGAGGCCATGTCGGATTCCGTCCGATCGTGAAGATGTCACTGTCGTCGACTGTGACTATGTTATTTGAGATTTTTCTCAAATAGATTATTTTCGGATAACGCTACATCGTGTGGTACGTACGATATATTGTTTGAATGTTAACACTTCCTCAATTGTATGTCCGTGTCCCGTCCATCGGTAAACACGTTATTTGTGAGCGTGAAAAATGCATGGCTTTCGGCCCTCTTCTGTTGCAATTTATTTTTGACAGCAAACCGCTCTGTCGTTTCACATTCGGCGAATTCCGCGGCGCCGTCACAACTTATCGCAAGAAAAAAACAGAAATAACTAGAACTATACATTCCAGTCACATTCGTTCTGTCGCGCGCGTACCCAACAAAAATAGTTTACAGGTTTTTTAGGGTTTTTTTTTGCTTTTTTGTTTTTTTAAATGTGGCACAATGCTTTCTCAATGTGCTTGGGAAAATACATGTACCATGAGACACAAAATATAGCGGGAAAGGACGAGAATTTAGCCGCCAGCAGCGTTTGAAACTGCGCCTATGCGGGCTGCGCCTACTGAAATCACAGTCCCCTCGGTTAGGGTTAGGAGGGACGCCGGTGAGAGTCTATCCTCAAACCCAGTGACTGGGCTCGAAGACGGTTTGTTGCCCCTGGGGTCGAGTGTTTTTTGGAAAGGCGTATAATGAGCACACTTGGAGCCAAATAGTGGCTAGAACTAGAGTGTGCAAACATCCGTCCACCCAGATATTCGCTTAAATCGGAGGGAAGCGAGTCCAGCTTCAAAAGCCGGTTATCCAGACGAATACAACTCAAACCGGTTATTTGGTTTCATCTCGCGTATAATAATAATAAGGCTTATTTAATTTTTACTTTAGAGTCCTAGAATCGCAAAGAATGCGTTGTTTTCCTCCAGTAATTAGAAAGTAACAAATTTACTGCAAGCGTGTAGGGGGGCACTTTGTCCAGTTTGTTTTCTACAGAGCTCGGTGTTTCTCCAACTTCTCTAGACTGGAATAGTTTGGCCCACCGCGTCCATCGAGCCTGGGGCGTAAATTTGACACGAGGCCAGCCTCATCCAAACGCCGCGTTCGGCTACGCCGGCCGACTGCACCGCGAGAAATACAAACAAAGAATTTGCCTCACTGTCCCCCATGAGTGGAAAAGGTTATGCACTTGGGCTTCTTGATGAGTCATAGTTTAGAGGTTAAAAACGCTAAAAACCACGGATAAGTGAAGGAGACCAACACCACTGAAGTTTACTCGTGCAAAAACATATAAACACCGTCAAATCCAGACATATGATGAAAGCGCTTTTAACCTCTAAGCCCACGGTTGTGGACTTGGCCACTAGGGGAGCAATGGTTGGCTGGACAAAGGACCCCCGAAGATCCCCTTTTAATTTCGGAACACGCAGGCGACAGAGGGGAAACCCCCGGGCGATTATGCGCGACAATCTTCATTTTGGTACAGGAGAATTTTCCGAGTTTATTTTTCCCGAAATTTGGAGGGTGGCTTTCGCAATTTATTATTAGAGCGCAGCTCTTAGGTGCTCGTTTCCGGCTTGAGCGGTGTCAGCGTCAGTGTAATTGCACAATGCATCAGCATCGTGATGACATCATCACGATGCTGATGACGATGCCGATGACGTCATCACAATGACCCGGGTGACGTCTCAAGACCCCCGCGAGGTCACGTGAGCCCCGTGAGGTCACGTGAGCCCCGTGAGGTCACGTGAACCCCGTGAGGTCACGTGAGCCCCGTGAGGTCACGTGAGCCCCGTAAGGTCACGTGAGCCCCGTAAGGTCACGTGACCCCCGTGAGGTCACGAGAGTCACGTGACCTCACAATCACGCCGACGGCGCTCAAAGCGAGGGCTAGCAGGCAGGAGGATAAGGTGAAGAGGAGGGAGTTGTTCCTCCGCTCAGTACCCTTCCCTCCTTCTCTTAATTCGGCATTACAGGGAGTTGTAACGGCTTTCATTTTTTGCTCGAAAGTCGGGCTTCATCGGAGTTTATTTTTGGTAGATTCCCGAATCTCCGAAATTCTGACCAATTTGAATGTGTTCCCAATTTTTCAGAAATTTAAAATAAAGGGAAATAATTTATGGACAAAGACATACACCAAGCTGAGAAGTTAGGTAATACTCCCAATTGCAATGACGATTGCAAGGGCTAACTGTCCCACGACAAATCTTGCAAACAAGTGTTGCTTCAATAAACATAGGCACTCTTAAAAGCCAAACTCCCGAATCTGGTCATTGGGAAGTTTAAGCTTCCCAACAGTTACATTAAGGAGTCTAATGGACAAAGAAGGTGGACGGGAACACTGAGGAACACTCTGACCGTAGATTTAATCGAACAAACCTCGGTGATGAACAACAAGCGGCAGCTTGACTGAGGAAACAAAAAATGAAGTGGAGTTTGCCGATAATTTCATCCGAGCACCACATCTCCTCGAACTGCTCCAGGCGTCGCAAGAACACCGTCACCACCGCTGCACTCCACTTTGTTTCCAAGCAACCGTGGGGTGTTTCGCGTCTCCGCAGTCGTCGGCGTTTCCCGAGGTGCCTCTCGGACGTCGCTTCGTGTTTACACCGGCTGCACGCAAGGTCCATCGCAGCATACGTGGCGGGAGCAACAACCAGAATGTCCACAAAGACGAGCACAAAGGAATCAAGGTTATCCACGGGGGTTTTGCCAACATGTTTGCGCAAACTCCCGTAGAGATTGTTGCAGCTCTGGGAATCGTGCGTCGGCTCGGCCAGCATGCTCACGAGAGAAAGTGTGCGCCAAGCAGTCGGGGATCTTTCACCGCTTTCTCTTGCACAAGAAGCTTCTCGAACCCGTCCAATATGCCTCGCTTGTTCCGCAAAATGGTGGACAGTGTCGAACAGCCGACGCAGGAATGTCAAATGCTGTGGCGATTTCGGACTTGGGCCGGCCACTTTTCTCAACCTCGCAGATGTAAGCGACTTTTGGTAAACAGCCCGTACAAGGCACGTGTACGCCGCAGGCATCGGGGGGTTCCCCGAGGGATGACTTCCTCCGGGCTCCATCGCTCCTTCGACCCCGTCTCGACAGGAGTCGGGCAGCGTCGGATGACGTGAGTAGCGTCGGGACTCTGCTCCCTGCCCGCGTCGGTGCATCGGCGCTCTACGCGCTTTGCCCTCCGTCCCCTGTTTACACTCTTTTCTCGTTTGTCCTTGGGCTCGCGCAGGATCAATTTGCAGACATTAGTAGCTCAACAAAATTTTCGAGGTATTTTTGCCCAAAGCTGCGCACGAAACATTAAGTTGTTTCAAACTTGTTTCTCTGCTCTCTTTATCCGTTCCATGCACAACAAGTCACGACCCCGACACGTTCTATGTGCAAGACCTTTGTTCACTTTCCCCCATGTTGCAGATTCAAAATAGCTTTAATACACTCAGCTCGGAGGTTGACATCTTCGACAGTGAACGCTCGTTTAAAAATGCCCCGAGCATTCAGCTTTATTAGGATCAATGTTTTTGAGTTTCCTTTTTAGTAGAAAGAGTCCCTTTCTGTGTGCCAGCAATCGGGCTCTGGCTGTTCCTTGACACACGAAAGAATAAAGAATAGAATGAGGTTCGGTGAAATGGATGCCATCAGAACTTGCTCCTAAAAAGTCTCGCGGGCAAGATGGGATTCTTACCTGTCGAAGAGTGCCGCAATATACAGTGTAGACCGCATATAACGTATGTCGCGGGAGTCGCGAAAATCCGCACTATAAGCGGTACCGCGTTATAACCAAAACATCAATTTTTCAGGCCAAAATACATGCCATGAGACAACCTACCTTTGTAAAAGAATTTATTTTATGTTAGATGAAAAATAAAGCTTAGTTTGAGGAAAGTCTTTATTTCACCAGACTAGTACACATCTCTCTCAAGTGTGTCACACATTTTGAAAGAAATAAGCGGCTTTTGCCTGGCGCCTTTTAACGGCGTCGCGGGTTGCGGACGGACGTTGCGAGCGTTCAGAATTGCTAACCCTAATCACTTTTCTCCGGAGATGAAAACGCGTGAAAATTCGCATCCTTCATACGGTACGCGCCAATAATACCTTGAACTTGAGCACAAGCATGAAATGCTCCAAATAAGAAATCCGGGCGATGTTCGAAAACACAAATGCTAGAAAGCACCACTTTAGCCGAAGTAAACAAACACGACGACACGGGCGTTTCTGCCGTCTTGAGAGCGCCGCCACATCGCCGCACGAGTAGGTGAATCTTCCCTTCTAGTACGTGCTGGGTTATCATAGCGACACACAACGAAAATTCACTGTCAAGGATAGCGTTTTTACGCGGAACGATGAGATGAACGCCACAACCGACGCCATGTTTGCGGACAGAAGCCGCCGGCCCGCGATTGGCATGCAACGCGCGCGA